ACACAGATAGATGTGGCACGTGAGGACGTTGTTGAGTGCCCATGGTAGGGTTGGGTTGATGGTTGGCCTGGCTGATCTCAGAGGCCTTTTCCAACCTCTGTAACTCTATGTTCTGCCCTCCTTGTCCCTCTCCAAAGGGCACTTTGCAGGTGGGGAAACTGAGGTACCACATCCCGGGGAGTCTGCAGTGGGTCCTGGCTTGCCAAAGGCAGCACTGGCAGCCCCAGGGGCTCCCACCAGAGCTGGGGGTAGGGCAGGGAACCAGCCAAACCCTGGCTGCAAACCCAACCCTCCCACACCAGCAGGGCCTTCCTGCACCAGGCACGGGCAGCAGGAGGCTTCCAGGCAGAAAAAGGGGGTGATTTGATTAAACTTGGGCTTCCCTGGCTACTGTTAGCCATTGCTAGAGGAGCCTCAGAGGGAGAGCAGCTGCAGGGGGTTGCATGGCAGGTTTTAAAGCCCACGAGGGGGCAGGGATGCAGGATCCAGCCCCAGCCAGCCCTGACTGTGGCATCCCTGGGGATGATTTTCAGCCTCTCCATCACCTGTGCCTGGCCCAGGATCTCCTGGCTCACTGCCACAGCCTGAAGCCCCAACTCTCCCCAAAAAGGGGGAAGCTGGAGAAAAAATAAAGTGTTTTCAGGCAAGAGAATTGAAGTCTTTTTTTGGCTGGTGTGTCACTGCTGGGTCACTAATCCACTATGTCACACGAGCAGAAGGTCCCATTATAAATATCTGCAGAAGAAATAAGGGAATGAGGCATCTCTGAGGTGTGCAGGGAAGATGCTGCACTCCTGGGTTGGTTGGGAAGTTCCCAGTACCCAGCTGGGAGCCACCAACACCTCCCACCAAGGCAAAGTGGATGGTGATGTCCTGGCTGCTGAAAAACTGATGAACTTCCCAACTATTTTTCTCTCAAATACATTCCCAAACCCACTTATTTCAAAATTCACAGCACTGGGTGTTTTTAACTCCTCTACCAGCACCAGCTCCTCCCTAGGAAACCCTGTGACCATCACTGGTCCTCAGGAAATGACTTTCCCTCTACCTACAAGCTAACTCCAGGGATTTATTTTGCTTCCAGTAGCTCATTTCTTCCTTTTGAACAGCTCTTGAGACACATCAGCCAGCCAGATGCTCTCACAAGAAGGGTTCAGCTCTCTCACTAATTACTAATTACTCCTACTGCGCATGTGTTGCCTGTTTATTGTGGCTCTGTACTTTGTAATTGTGCCCAGCAATCAATATCAATTAAACCTCACTCAGTATCAATCCAAATATACATTTCTCATTGCTAAACCTGGTGTAAAAAAAATGGGAGCAGGAAAGCAAACAGGACATCAAACCCCCAGCCCCTCATCAGGGATGCTCAGGAGCGACCACTTAGACACCTCAAATCACTGCTGATGGCTTTGAAGTCCTTTCTTAAATAGAAACACATCAATATTTGAGAAAAAAAA